TGTGAACTGAGCAGTAGGACTGGCTTGGGAGAAGAGGAGGGAGCCTATTTTTGTGAAAAGACAATTCGAGTTGAGACTTCAAGTATTCAAAAATGCATACCCCCTCCCCCCCTTCAGAGAAACAGAGCTCCTTGTTGAGCGATTTTGGTATATTTAGAGCCTGTTTGAAATTTTCTATTCAAAAATATGATTGTGAGCAAAAATAAAATAGAAATGAACTTGATTGAAAAGGTGCTAACGACGTAATTAACGCATCAATAAATTTACAGTGGTAAAGATTGAATTAAATTTGTATATGTATAAACACAAAAAACACAGCAATGCTAAAATGACCAAATTATCTATTACTTAAATTAACAACACGAAACATCTGTATTAACTCTGATTTTGCAAGCAACTAACTAAAATAGGTAAAATTGACTGAAATAAAATGAATGTGGAATAAATGTTGATAAATGTGTGTATAGAGAAACCTTTTGTTCAATTAACACTTTTAATGAAATAGTGTTTCATCCAAGCTAAGCTTACTTGATGTCATCAATTCTAAGAATAGCATTGAGAATTCATTTTTGGGCAAAAGTTGTAAACCCTCAACAAATAGACGAGAAATCACCGACGAAGTAGTATAATCATTTGAACTCGTCAAATTTCCATTTTAGGATTTGAAATGCTTGAGTATACTCATTAGTTTGCTTTCACGCCTTATTTTCGGAAAGTCAATTGAGACTATTCATGTCACTAATTTTTAGCATTTTGTAAATATTGAATGTGCATGATAAGATTATAAAAATATGAATAAATGACAGAATTGTTGTTTTGAAGCCGAGGGTTAGGCCTGACTTTCTGCCAAACCATATAATCATGTATGGTACACGACAAGTATGGTACAAATGGTAAGTTTAAGCTATATATTAAAAGAACCTTTTATCAAAATGCTAAATTTTAAAGTAGCCGTGGTGAAAAATTCTTTTAGAAACTAATTTTGCACTATCTGACAATTCGGTTTCGAAGAAGGTTTGATTATAACAAAAAAAAATCTACATTTTCCATCTTTTCGCTGAATAGTGCATGACGTAAGAATTTTCGCAAAAAGGTTTAATTTTAAATTTTAATTACTAAAGCATTACTATTGCAAAATCATTAAATTTATACGCTTCGGTATCTCTTTTCAAAATGAATTTTCATTAAAACTATAATAGTTTTGCAATTCGAAACAAAAGCGCTGTAACTAAAAAAAAACAATGCGAATAATTGCTGCATATTGTTGGCGAATTAGTGTTAAAACTATAAAATTTTATGAAGAGCATCGTAAAAAAATATGAGGAAAAAACAAGTAATAATGTGAGAACAATGAGTTTGAAGTGAATAAATTGGCACCAGGCTTCCCAGTGTGTGAATACTAAAAAATCCTTTAAAATCCGGGACAAAGGAAATTTTTTGGTACGAACACATTATGTAATTTTTCATTGAAATAAACTGGCTAAGATTTCCTTTCATTATTGATTACATTTCAGGAAACCGCTTGGTTTTTTCCGAAATAGGAAGAAACCGAATGCATATTGAATTAAATTACATTTTTCCTGGATTAACTGAAATATGCCTCATTAGACAGAATATGGGATTAATATTTGATATTGAAAAGTATGAGGAATTAAAAAAATAATAGGAAAAACAAAAATCCCATTATTCAACCTGAATTCTTATAAATAAATATACGAGAGAACTACATTTTCAATGGATTTCCAAAATTCTAACTCATCCTCAATCTAAAATCTGCTGGAATTAGATCTTCAGAAAATTTACTATGCGAAACTATAAAAAAGAACAAGATTTTTTTTTGGATTTTGAAGAATACACATCGAAAGTAATTGAAATTGTTTTCCAACAGATTCGGTTTGTTTAGGGTAGTGAATGAACTCATTTTGCCGCTTGTCCGTGTACTCTCTTTCGGAATGCGATTTTATCTCGTAGGAAAAACGAAAAATAAAGGTTTTATCTGCTATTTGGGTGAGTAAATTCTAATCATCATAGCGAACCAATCAACCACATTTTTCCAACAACGCAGGGAGACGAACATTCAGACAAAGAAATCGTCCGAATTGAGTTTGTTCTAATGATTAGGATATATCTGCCGAAAACAGCATTTTTCACATTGAATTGATACAAATAAATGCATTTGTTCGAAATTCAGAGTTCTTTCAATTTGGACAAGCATGTAGGAAAAGAAAAAAATGCAAAAGACATGGCTATGCTCAAAATAGGAAAATGCGGGGATATTTTTAGAAACAAGGCAATCTCATTGTATGAGTTTCGCGAGTTGGTTTATTTTTGGACGAAACTTTGTTTTTGTTGGTCCTTAATTACTAGATTCAGACTAGATAGATCGGCAATAACATAGTGTTGTTTAAGCGAAAAATTGAGATAAAAAACGCTGAAGCAATAAATCGCTTGAGTGAGGGCGTCACTTGGAGATCAAACTTCGCGAAACTATTAAAAAGACACATGTTAAAGAGTGATTAACAAACCAACAAGTGATTGTTCAATTTGTCTTTTGAACCAACTAATCGAAAATCTGATATATATGTTATTATTATTTTTAACCATAGTTTTTAATCGAAACATCTATGAATGGATACATTTTCTTTCCTCCCTTCCATGGAAACTGAAACGTTTCATCTTTCAAATGAATTTCACGAAATATATACATAAATCAAAAGTAATGATTTAGAAGTAGATCTAAAAAATTTTTTTGTCATTTTGAATTTATTGATCGATTCTCGCGTGAAAATAAGTATTAGAAATTGCATTCATTACTGTTAAGAAAAATGGAAAGCAGTAACAAAGCACAGAAGTCATAAATAACTGAATAACACACATGCTTCATTGTTGAATTTTTGCATATAAATGTTTCAATAACGTACGCGTTCATGATTGATTTTTCAAAAATCATTTTCCATTTTTTGCATCTTTATATTTCAGGCTTTCGCTTTTTGAAACAGCGAAGGAACGGTGTTCTCAAAACTTTGCCGCATTTTTTGCATCTTTTGTGAATTATTTATAAGATGGAAGTTATATGTACATATATTTATAATATTTAAAAATTCGAATGATATGAATTTATTTTCAAAAAATACTTCAAAATATCTCAGCAGTTCTTCAAAATAACTCAAAAAAAACGAAAGGATGTATTACATCTTGGTTAAAAACGGAAAGAGCTTATGTCAAAATAGAATTGATATTCATAAGAATGTGTGCGTAGTCTGATATAAAGTTCACTTCAAATAATTGAAAAGTTTCATTAAATAAGCTTTGAGTGTCGAGAAATGCAGAAATGTTTTTTAAAGCATCTAGAAGAAAGGTGAATTGACTGCATATCCCTGCTTCACTTATCAGCCTCCTCCACAACATATACTACTTTTTGTCTAGTTATTTCGCATAAAACTTTTTGAAGAAAAAATGTGGTTTTCTGGAAATATTGGTTTGAAAATAATATTGCTCACCATAATCATAATAATAATAATAATAAAATAATAAATAACAAAATAACTATTTCCAGAAGAAAATTAAGAAAACAGAAGATTGCATTGTCTGTTCGTTATGCATGAGCTTCTTCTGTTAAAAGAAAAAATGAATTAGTAAAAGGAAATCGGAAAAGGAGCACAACATTCTTCTTAATGAAGAATGGATGGTTCACGAAAGGCGAGTTTCTCTTCTTTCTTGATTATTATTAGGATTGGCAAGTTTTATAGATGCTAGGAGGCCGATATTTTCAATTAATGAATATAATTATTTTCCAGCAGAGTCTTCAATTTTGTGCACTTCGTATTAATGGAGTAGAATAAAAATAGGAAACGGAAGATCTAGAAAATAAACAAAATAACGGAACCGACTATTGTAAAGAAAAAGAAAATAACAAAAAACTAAAATGGTCGTGAAATATTTGAAAACTTTCCAATATTTCAGCTTAGAAATAATATCGTATTTACTTATGTACGTAGTTGCATTGGGATACTTGGCTAATAATTTTGCTGCAGTATTTATCTCAAATGATACAGCAAAATTCAATTGAATTATGAATAAAATAGACAATGATTGGTTAATAAGTTATTTTCTCAGCTACCTACAAACTTGAATCTAAAATTTGCTCAAAAATATTATCTTGATATATTACAGAATTCAAGCATTAATTAAACAGTGACTCCATAACTAATTGTCGATTTTTTCTCTTGCGTTATTTTCATTCTATGTGTATATTGTGTCGCATTAGATTTCTAACTACGGGATTACTGGTGTTCATCAAAATCTAGTTTTTTTCCTATTTAGCTGTTTTATCTGACGCCCTTTTATTTAATTCAACAGGTAATTCTATTTTTACTAAAAATTGCTACTTTTTTGCGTATTAAACTCTAACAAATAACCGCTCCTTTTTTAGAAAAGTTGCACGTGATCATAAATAATGTTAATTCTAAATATTCCTTCAAAATTTACAACCAAGTTTGTACACTGCTTTTTTATGTATATTTTCACAAAGCATTTTTTCGAATTTCATTCCCAAATATCCTTTAGAGGCTGGCTATCAAATCGGAGAAATCGCGATGTATCGCATAGTAACCAAATTCAATTCGCGACTATTTTGAAGCTCTTCTTATTTTTCTATATAGTAGCGTACTTTTTTCAAAACGTCAATCTCATCAATCACGTTTTAAGCCATTCTTTTTTTTGTCCTGAAAAAAGAATATATCAAAAAACCTATGGTCAAATGATCGCTTAATGATATAACGTGTGTGCTCCACGCTTGACACATAATCGATTTTCGACCGGTGTGCAAACTAGTATTCTCTGCGCATCGGGTCAAATATGCGACAAATGGAACGTTTTTTATAGTGACTGTTTGGTTAGTCGAGCCCGAGCCAGTGGACTCAATCTGTTTGCCACAACGTCTTGCCGACAATCATTATAGACTGTGCTCTTTTAATAGCAGCAGTTAGTTGTTTCAACCAATGCTAGACATCAGAAGGTTTCTTTTCCATTTCTCTCAAATTGAAATCATTTTCAACAGATTTGATATATACCGAAAGGTGCCCAAGGACTTAACGCAACCTACCACTGCAGGGGCTGTTATTTCAATCATTTGTGTTATTTTTATTACTTTTATGGTTTTTAATGATATTTTGGCATATATTTTCATAGATTTGTGAGTTGAAAAGTTGAAAAAAAAAAGAGAAAATTTTGAGCATTTTCAGAAAAAGCGAGTTTTATATTGATGATCCCGGCAGAGAAGGAAAAATTGATGTAGAAGTAAACGTTACTTTTCCAAATATAGGTTGCGAATGTAAGTTGAATAAAAATTACAATGAAAAATTAAATTTCGGAATGCAAACTATTCTTTTAGATCTTGGCGTTGACATTCAAGACGAGAATGGACGCCACGAAGTTGGCTTTGTTGACAAAACCACAAAAACACCCGTTGACGACAATGGATGTAGATTCGAAAGCAAATTTGAAATTAACAAGGTAAAAAATTTATTTTTAAACCTTAGAATAACGCTAACAAATATTCATAAATATATATTGTGGGAAAAAGTCTTTATTCGAAACTTGTATAATTAGTCTCTTCCTAGGATTTAAAAAATCAGAGACTCAACATCTGAAAGGAAATTTGCAAATAGTTAAGCTGTAATCAGATAGACATATAATAAAAATGGTGCGAAATAAAGTATGACAAGTAGAAATAATTAATAGAAGCAGATTTGCGATATATGCGTGTCTAACTACTGTCTGAAAACGAATTCTATCAATTTTCTTTAATTACGTTCCCTACATGGTAAAGCTGTGCTGAATACGAAAGGCTATTGTTTTTAAACAAGAAGAGGATTATTTCCTATAATTATTTTGTATTTCTCACGTGTTTTAATGTGAACGCTTTCAATAGTGATTCAAATTCAGGATATTTGAAAAAGGGAGCCGATTTTTTTAAAAATAAATATATAAATTTTACAATAAAAAAACAAAAAATCAGTTTCACAACAAAAAAGGTTTATATATATGTCTTGCAGGTGCCTGGAAATTTTCATTTATCGACCCATTCAGCTCCTGCACAACCGGAATCTTACGATATGCGCCATATAATTCATTCCATAAAATTTGGTGATGATGTTTCGGTATAGTTTGAAAGATTGCTCTTTCTTTTACAAATCACTTCCAGCACAAAAATTTGAAAGGAAGTTTCAATCCATTGCACGACAAGGATACAACTTCTGAAGGACCGTTGAATACTCATGAATACATTCTAAAAGTAAGTGTCATCAAACAATTTTTAAACTTCATGAGTTCAGATTGTTCCGTCGATTCATGAAGATTATTCTGGAAATATCCTACACAGCTACCAATACACATACGGTCATAAATCGTACATTACTTATCATCATTCCGGCAAAATCATTCCAGCTGTTTGGTTTAAATATGAGTTACAACCAATAACATTGAAACAAACCGAAACGCGGCAGTCGTTTTACGTTTTTCTGACATCGGTAAGATTTTAGACGTTTCTTATCGAAATAATTTTACCTTCAGATATGTGCTGTAGTAGGAGGTACTTTTACAGTCGCCGGAATTATCGATTCGACATTTTTTACAATTTCCGAACTCGTTAAAAAACATCAGATTGGAAAACTAACCTAACCACATTTCTTTCGAGAATAAAATTTATTAATTTTATTAATTTACATTGTTTTATTTTGTGTCTATTTGCTGTGATTAAAATGTATATACATAAATTTTTTAACAATTTTAGCTTGTATTAGTATTACCATCCTGTAGGATTACCAAAACTATATCAAGTGAAAAATTTATGCACATTTGCAAATAACAATAATCCGGAATCCATATTAATCTTCGGAATTCCTTCAGAAACCCTTATAAAATTTTAATGATGCCATTTTCTACAGAAATACGGCAAGTTATTACAAACTCGTAAATAACTGATTCTTTTATTCGTCATCTATTTGATGTTTTTTTTCAGTCAGTTTCTATTGTAAAATAAACCGGCTATCCTGTTAAAAATACTAAACATTCATTTTTACAACACTCAGAATTTTTGCTTTTTTTCACAAATACCAAACTCATACACTCCTCACTAGACGAAAACACCAGATTTTATGAGAAATTCGATTTATTAGCAATAAATTGGACGAAATACATAAATTTAGACCTATAAGAGTATTAAGGAATTCACATAAGCTAACAATAAAAGTCGCGTTAAATTCGTTTTACAATATTTCTTTCGGCAGGAAACGTATTTTTAATTATTGGGCTAAGCATGAATACTACACAGATTCACCCGTCAACTCATTTTAATAGATATTGAGTTCATCAGCCAATAACAGAAAATCTAAATTAAGCAGATGGTAAGTATCGTTCATCATCGGAGCGTTGCATAATAAGCGTTTCCCTAGCAACTCTTGTTTGCCGTTCTCTCTCAATTCGTCGATTTCTAATCCGCCTTCCACCAATAATTAACAAGAGCAATGTGAATATTGAAACGGTAACCAAAAGACCAATTATTAGAAAAGTAATTTTTGTCGTCGACACTTTTTGACCAAATAAGACAATATACTGAAATTAGATTGGTTTTAGATTGAAGTTTCTCTAATTCCCATTATACTTGAGATTGTGATGGCGGATTTTTTGCACCATCCAATGCTGCCAATCCTTTGTTGTAATTATCTCTCGGATAAAGAAATTTGCATATATCAAAAGGATAATCGGCCGGATTATGATGGCAGACACAAGTGGTGTTCGCTTCCCTAAATTAAAGAAAAAGTTTTTTAGTTTTAACATTACTGAGCATCGGTATTAAAAATCTCAAAAAAAATCAAAATTATAAGTTATATTGAAATGGCAAAATTTTTGTCTACGAAACATTAAAAGAAAATTTTAACTTGAAAATAGACATTTTTCATTGCGTGTTTTTGTTAAGCAGACAATTTTATTAACTTACGAAAAATCGGGCTCTCCATTTTTGCATTTCAAGTGATTGCAATATTTACTAGGTTGATTGAAGCAACAAGCGCATCTGAAATTGAATTAATGATAATTTTTCTAATGTTCATCATTACTGATTATTTTTCTTCGGGAAGCATCTAGTTATAAACTGTTTACATTTCGCTCCTTGATCAGTGAATTTTCTGAATATATATTCCTATTTATTCGATCATGTGTTTCAGATTCAACCTGCAAATGCAAACGGTAGGTGGCGGCTCTGTTTCCAAAGTCAGCGCTGTCAATGTGTTGTTACAAAACACACTATTCCAGTCTTCGGAGCAAGAGCATGGTGTATTAAAAGTTGACCCCGTTTTCAAATAACTATCTAGCGGACGATGAACAAATCCACCTGGAATTCGCCGAATTGAAAAAGAGAAGCAGAAAAGTGCATTGACTGAGTGAATTCAATACCATTAATATTTCATAGAATCAGCCCCATTATAAGAGCAATTATTTTTAATGCTTCAGTGTGTGAAAAGCAATTAGGACAACACGTAAAATCAAAAAAAGGCAAAGATGAGATAATAAAAATATTGTTGTGTGCATTTAGTGAACGACAAACATTTAATATTGTACTTTCAATTGATTATGGTTTCATTCATGCAACACAAAATGTAAAAAATTACACATTTTTCAATACTTTTTTTTACATTATTTGTTTAAAAAATACATTTCATGAAAAAGTTCAGTACAAAATAAATCTAGTAACTAGATATTTGGTTGTCTTGCGTAACTAATTGAGTTTCTCACCCTCAAAAAGCAATTCATCTTCGGGCCAAATTTCGATTTTAAAGAATTGCTCGTAATTTCACAGCATTTTCAAAACATACATTTATGAACAAGGATTTTTAATTTTTATTATCTTTTTAAAGTTTAATATTATTATTATTTAAGCACGCTGTTCACAATTTTTGAGGACTTTGTCGATAACAAAACTAATAAAGAAATTCGTTTATAATGTTATCATTAGAGGACTTCTGGCAAAATAGTTTTTGAAGATTATGATCTTTACATAAAACTATAGTTTTTAATAATGTAATTATTTCATTTAATGTTGGTTTATATAAATCGAATGATCGCTTAAATAATACAAATTCCTCTTGGTTTTTGATTTCTTTCGGGCAAATAGCATGAAAATTTGCTTATTTTTTGTTATTACGTATGTAGGTATGACGCCAAAATATGATATTCTGTTTGAAATTGAACGGAGTAAATAATATCCATAAAATTTAATAGAAATCTTACTTGATGTACATGCAAATTTCTCGCAACTCCCTTTGGAGCACTTCGTTTCAACACTCTTCACAACGAAGATGACGGATAGTAAAACGTGAATCGGATTCATGAATATTGTAGATCATTAATCGCTTTTAACGAGCATCTTCTACAAAAGTTCCAAGCAATTTCTGAAAGAAGAAAAATGTCAATGCGAAAACAAAAAAAAAACACTAGCTAAACTGCTGAGAGTATGGCAACGAATAATGGTTCAGTGAACTTTAGGAATTCATGAATTTTGAAAATGTTCGTCGTATGTGCATAAGTACGGACGTCTTTTTGAAAGTGTAGGTATATGCATATATATATATATATATATGCATATAATAAAAAATTGTGCATCTTTGATTCGAAATATTTTGAATAGCTATACAATGGAAATTTATTCTGATTAACATTTTCTCATGAAGAGAAAGTGTGAAGAATTTCGATTTGGATTTAAGTCCAGATTTAAAGACGCATTTAGATTTAAATTGTTCTTGCAAATAGTCGTCGTAGACATTTCAGACATAGAGGGTTCTGGATAACAAAAAAAAAGAATAACGAAAGAAGCGTTGGTGACCTTTTAATATAGCTTTTCCTTTCTCAATTTTCTTTTCTTTCAGAAATTATGTTAAGAAGAGAGCAATAATATAAAAAGGGAAGTCTTCAACTAAACAAATTGAATCAAAGGGTCCCACTGAACAGAAAATTTAAGTTGAAATATGAAGACGGCGATTCAAATAATGGATTATGAAATGATCATCGAAGGTTATTGCTTCCCAAAGCAATTTAAAGGTAGAAAATTGCGGGGTAGGGAAAAGATGAACATATAGGTCTTACGACTGAAATTGAAGGTTTTTGTTTTTTTTCTCAACATTGTGATCTGAACGGGGGAGTAGAATGCAGCCAAATTTTCGATATGTTTGCTGATAAACGCGAAAAACCAGCATTTTTCAAATGAATTCAAATATGTAAAAGGGCAAAAATGCAAATTGACGCGCTATCAATACCACCTAGAGTTTTGGACAAAATGGTGACTGTTTTTTTAACGGTCGTAATAAATGTGAATGATTGTTGATTACATTAAGGTGATAAAAGTTGAAAAAAATGTTACACACGTCGTGAAGAACTTGCGAATGAACACGTACTACATATCAGTGAGATGCTTTTGAGCACCACAATCATAAAAAGTGGAGAACGGCAAAAAAAATACTAATGTTGTTGGTAGGACACTGGTGCAAACGTTGACACGAAAAGAGTTATGATGACTCGGGCGGATTTGACCAAGGAAGAAAAAATGCGAACACGCTGGTAGGAAAAAAAAATAGATAATGTGCATCCTTTTAGAAATAAGCGTTTCGTTTTTCTCCCTTGAGATGCAACCATTGCGGTTTTGGCAAAACTTTTTCGATGTTCACGCCGTGTTAGTTTCTCGGAATTAATCACTGCTCTGCTCGCGGTTACGAAAATCGGAAAGTTTGATGGAAGTGTGTTCTACGTTGGCCAAAAATTTGTTGCGTTCTTTAAATGAATGGCAAGTAAACTAGAAATTTTGGGTACAATAAAAGTAATAAATTTGATCCATGACAAAAAATAACAACGAAGTAAATGACATGCGAGGCGATTTGAGCAAACAATTAATTGTTTATTTTAGTGTAATTTATTTTTGAACACAGAACTTTGAGAATCGTAAAGTTATAACTTAGAGAATCGTAAAACGTTGCAATTAGTAATTCTACGAGCACCATTGTTTTTCAAAAAAGTTGATTTATTTGGAGAATTGGGGCATAAATGGGGGAGAGGGGAGTGTACATGCGCATATAAATTTGAAAATTTATAACAGTTTAGTGTTAACTATAAAAAATTGACTAGAATTTATTGGAAAATTAAACAATGAATGTTTGAAAACTCCTCCCAATGTAAATGGTAGACCGATTATTTGCGAGGATATCGGTCACCATAGAACCGAAAACAATTATAATATCGGTTAATAACTACATATACCGGTCGGCATAATCCAAAATTAGAATTTCGGCCAAATTGTTAGACGATTGTGTGAGGATATCTAGAGTCATCCAAAGAATTTTTAACCTATTTGAAATAACCCGATTTCGTTCTCATATTGACACAAAAATTATGCGTATGGGATTCGAGATAGAAAACATGAAGAAAAGAAAACTTAAACGTACCAATTATGTTTTCGTTTTGTTTTCAGTGGCGCTTCCACTAATGACAATTGAATGAACCCAATATTTATAACATTTTTGAAAATCTTTAAAGAATTTTCCGACATTTGAAAAAAAACAACCAAAACCACGGAAGTTAGTTTTTATTATGTAAGTTTGAAATAAAGCGTCGGAAATGCATTTATTGAATTGAAAAAAAATGGGCGCCGCGGGGCAATTTAATTGGAAACCATTTTCTAAGTGACCTCAAAACCATTAGAGTCATACCAGTAATGGAGTATTTGACTAATAAAAGGGGGTGGAGATTCACAGTTGAATAGAATTGTTTGAAGTGACCGAAATGAATGCTCTCGAATAAAAGATGGCGATTCACTAACAGAATGGGCTGCGAATTGGACAACCACTGACACATTCAAACTCGCAAGTATTCCAAAGGGCATAAACAGAAGAAAATGAATAAAAATTAGGAAGTGGCGTATGCTCGCTGACTAGGCGGTAGGAGAGATTTCGTATTCGGGCAGACTTGATGACGAGCCCCTTCCACAAGTATATCCCTTTCAAAGGCATTCCACAATACATCGTTTTTCATTCATTTTCTTTAAGTTTTTCTTCCTACTCCACTAAGATTTATTTCAATTGTGAATAGAAGAAAAACATGTTCCGTTGCCGTTGCAGGCAAGTTTTTGAAATCCCGTCCAACAATTCTGTTTTTGAGAATGGAAAAATATGGGATATGTGGCTGAAGGTCTTTTCCTTTTTTAAAAGCATTCAACATGAGATAAAGATTTGTGAAGAAGGTTAGACAAGCGAATTTCGAATGAAAAAATAGAACGCTCCGAAAGACGTGATTTTCATAACAAATATGAAAATTGTAATGTAACGGTGCTTAGAAGAATGGTAAATAGCTGATTTTTTAAGTTTATTCAGATATAAAAAATTATTTCTATCGGTTTTTTTTCATTGTTTTTTGTGTGTTGTGATGTAATTCAAACCTGCATTTAAACTGTGGGAATTAATATACTATATTACATATTTGGTCAAAAATATAGTGTATTAAAAGAAAAAAATGTAATTTTATTCTAGAAACGCAAATCCCCTAGTTAAATAACGTGTAAATAATTCATAGAATCTTTGTATTTCTCAATACGGCGCGGCAAAAATTCCCGGAAACGCATCGAATTTCAGAATTTTTTCATTGTTATTTCTAAAAACAGGTGAAAATTTGAAAGGATATAGACATTTAACATATAGAAACAATTCCATTAAAAATATCACTTAAGTCTGAATTAGCCACCTACAGTAATTTATTGTATATTCAATTTGACGAGCGTGAGATTTGGTAAAGAAATTGAGGTAAAGAAACAACTTAGCATTTTATCTTCCATTTTTTTGTTAGAAAATAGTTTAATCAGGTTACTTATAAATTTACATAAATTTATAATCACATGACACCAGAAGTAGCAGACAAAGAAAGCATTATGTCTACAATGTTTACACGCAAGATTTAAAAACGATTGTACATTTAGTTAAGCCGAAAATCATCACAAAAATTGAGTATTACACCCGATATATTTGTTTTTTGGCTTTTTCAATGAATGAAATGCACCAAGGTAGTCAAAATTGGCGGCTAGCACAAAAAATTGATGTTTTTCGCATGAATAATTTGATAGCGCCTAGATAGAACACCTTCAGATTGTCTACAACGACAACAACAACGCCTTTGGTCTTATAATTCCAGTCATATTTGCATTAATTCTTGCTGCAGTTCATATAAATGTATATGCTTGGAAACGAAAGAAAAGATCTTCAGGAAACGAAGACAAAACATAAATTGTAGAAAAGGCCAAAAAAAGATTCATCTTTGAAATCTATTATTTTCACACGTCTAGTAGTTAATTAGATATGCAAATGAGATCGTGTTAGACCAATTGTCGATTTTTCTTCATCTTTTTTTTTTTGCTTTCCTTGTGCCCTTTTCTTCATCAACAAAGACCACAAGTGGCAGCACAATTCCGGAATTTATAGTCGTACGTGTAAAATGGGCTTTTACAAAGACCTTGGACTTCCCAACTTGCACAACTAAAAAAATAAATCAAATTTCATCACTGTTATTAAAACAACGAACTTTGTACTCAAATCAACACAATTCGGCAACAAATCTCTCGAACCGTAATTGGAAGATCCTGGGCCAGTACTTGGCCGACATAAACCGCAAGTTCTGCGGCAATACTCCTGAAAAATAAAATGTGGTTAAAATTGAAAAAAAAGCTAAAATGCGCAAATTCACAATCCAAAAAATTTTCAGTCATGAAAATTTCGATCCACAGTTTAAATTGTGAAATTGCTTTAGAACTGTTATATTCTCCCTTTAATTTAAAGCAAAAACAATCAGTCCGCAAATGCGCTATTTGCACACAATCGTATCGGTTTATAGACTTGTCAAAAGTTTTGAACATCTGGTGATGACGCTTTTGCGAAGCAACCACATGCTGTTTGATTTATGAGCGCTCAAATTAGTGGTTTTTCTTCCGACACTTTATGAATGTTTACAAATGTGCTATTAGCGATGATACAACTGCACTAAGTATGATACAAAATCGTGCCGGCTAGCCTCAATAAAAAAGTGTTATAGATTAAATAAAATTTTTTTGAAATGTTAAACACTATTCGTGTCGAATACACATTCATAATGCGCATTCATAATGTACAGAAGAGGATTCCATTTTAGAATACATCCAAATACTTTCCACTTTCAATGAAAAGTAAAAATTAATGTGTTTTTGTTAATATTTTTTTGAAATTCTTAGATTATATCGTTTGTAATTTTTTCTTTTATGAACAAAATTTTTGGCTATTCTTTTTCCCCCATTTTCGAATCAAAATTCACGTGCCTGTACAAAATCCTGCATTTTGATGCTCCCACAAATCGACATATCATTTTCGCACTCAACTGCTTTGTCTTCGCATCCACCTCAAAAAATGACATCACAGTTATTGACGACGAGGTAGTGGCCAGTCGGCGGCATTTTTGAGAGCTATGAGTAATATGCGAACCCCGTCATCGCAAAAAAGGACAAGGCCGCCGAATTTTTTGAATGCGATTGCAAAAAAGGTGGGTAAACACGAGTAATGTTAGACGTACCTTCTGCACAGAACCCGCATACATTTGGGCAATCTTCCGTGAGAATTGTACGCCACGCAGGATCGCGGCATTGTCTCATAGTTACACTTTCGCATTTGACACGCGGAACTAAAAAGGAAACAAATGATATAAGTTGAGAAAGATATGAACTTTTAGCATTTTTGCAATTATACTGATTCGTGAGACAACAGTATCCGCATGTTTTAGGGCATGTACGAATTGCAATTCGTTTCATCTCCTCATTTCTAACACCATTATTCTGAAAAAAAATCTCAAAAATTCATGTTGATTGTTTTTATAAATTAATCGATTAATTTGTTAAAGTTTAATTTTTGGAATCTTTCTCTTTAAATCTTTTTTTTAATCGTGAATTTTCAAAAAAATTTTCCTAAACGTGCAGCACCAATCTTTTGTTATATGTTCCCATGGACATATGGGATTTTGAAAGGATCTATTGAAATTGCGCCATTGGGGCAGACAAAGGTGGCTTGCAGGAATGTGTGTTCGCTGCAAATTCGAATACCATAAAACACAATAATGGCCGTTCTGCAGATTCATCAAGTGCCACAGATTTTCCATATATCATCGTACACGCGGAATCACTGTACACATTTTCACAGTTGATGGCACTGGGAGCATACTGAAATCAAAATTTTCAACAAAATATATCAATTACACACATTTTCCTTTAAATAATTTTTTCCAATCGGTTGATTTTTATATCAAAATTCAAAAACTTTTTTAGTCAATGGTTTTCTAATCAATAGCAAAGCATTTCACTTGCTATTTATTTGATCCCGTGAACATTTCAATTTATAAGATAAATTTATTTAAACAAAAAACTCAACCTTTCCCTCTACTTGATAATGGTATGTACAATTGCGATCACTTGGACCAGTGGACCTGGACTGTGCAACCGTCAAGACAAAACACCAAGAAAACAACGAAATATAAAGAATCATCTAGCAGAGAAAATCTTCCGATATAAAATATTTTCCAAATGAGTTTCAAAGACACTTAAACGTAGTTGAGAGTGTTGTTACACAGAGCTCGCAATGCACAAAGAAGGCTTGTCGGGTCAGAGGAGGCGACCACTATTGAAGCCGCCTCAAGCGGTTGAGCAAATGTTGAAAGTATCTGGCTCTTGAATCGATACATGCTCCGAATTGAACAGAATGCAATGTTTCAAATAAGACGTCGAAAATATTGTGTGCATTGTGAAGCACAATGTGATCAGAATTTTTGATTGTTTCGAATTTTCACAAACGGTGTACATCGATATGTTGACAGAACAATTACGCTCCACTATTCAACTGTTCTACTATTGTTTATATTCTGCGAAATTAAAATTAAACATATTCAATCAGCGGCATAACTAAAATTAATAACATTACTTTATTTCAATGCTATCAAATCCGAATCCTGTTGAAAAAATTTCAATGATCAGTAACAAAGTCCGAATGGAATGCTTGCGTTCGATATTTTTTTAGGGACAAAATATTCACAGAGGTTGATAAAAAGCATGATTGCAATTTAATTTTTTGTATCGAATTTAAGACGGGAACAAAACATTGCTTTGAAAACACAACATTACAAGAAATGACAGCCTTTGCATAAAAACCGATTTTTGAAAAACAATACTTGAATTTTGTCAAGATGAATGGATTTTCTTTCTGCGATAGGAAAAAGGTTTCTTGCTCTTTTTTTTCAATTAAACAGTTAATACGTTTGGGCGGCTAAAACACAATTGTTGGTTTCAATTTTTATTTTGTACGTTTCCTATTTTTGTAGAGATTTTCCCAAATTTTCATTCGTGTCATTCCTTTCTTTTATGTCATTCTATTCACTTTTATGTGCGTTTTTAATAACTCCAGAATCAAGAAAATATCGCAACTATCGGCGTGTCAGAGAGTGATTGTGATAGCATCTCTTTGAGCTATTCACCACCATCCTCAGACAAGTCGTTGGTTGCTTTGGAATAAGAATGACGGAGTATTGACTAGATAACTAACGTACGCATGAAATATGTTCGAATGAGGGTAGACACGCCTTTAAGCGATCAAATGGGCGTAGTACCAAGCGCTCTAGAATATTCACGACAAATTGGCAGCCTGCCAAGATTGTGCGAACAGAACGGGCGTGGCCATGGCTCGTCTTTGTCCAAAACATTGTACTCGTGATCATCGGAACAAAAGAATTGAATTTTTCCAACGGGAATGTCTCTGCAATAACACCGGCATTGGTAAAACAAATGTGAATTTTCTGCAAGAGTACTTAGTGTGTGTAGCTGTAATTTTCGTTTTTATGCACAATTTAGAAAAAAAACTGATTATTAGACATGTAGGCCTGCCGACGTATGATTGTAACAGTTTCAACACAAACTTATTATGATCATGCTCCGACAAGTTGTAGCGGTTAGAAAATGTGGTGCTGCAATTAGATAACGCATGAATATTACAAATTACAATTTTCTTAAACATCACAAATACCGAAGCGAGGATTATAATGTCAATATAAAATTTTTCATATTTCGTGATGTCTATGACACAATTAAAAAAACTAATTAATGTTTATTCTACATTTTTTATTAGATTATTCCTCGTTTGTTCCAGAATATATGGTTTTCTTATATTTTTCTTCTCACATTGCCTTTTTCATCGTTAGTTTTATTATTCCCCACAGAAAAAATGCCCAGCAATCGGCTCGTCAGAGGATGGCTGTGATAGCATTTGTATCTTGCTAAACATTAGCATACTCTGACTAGTCGTTGTTGCGCGTGAATACGAATATCAGGACGCCATTGCTAGATGGCAGCGGACGGGTAGGAATGAAATGCTCACTTTCGTCGCAGCAACTGAAGACAGTGGGCGGAGTCACGTAAAATCTTCAAATGCGCAGAAGCGAAAAGAAAGCGGAGACAACCTTGCCATTATTTTCACCAAGAGCGTACCTGAGCGGAGATTTTGGGTGATTGAACCAAATATGACAATCGTTTTACATGATTTAAAACTTTCAAAATATGCAACGAGAACCGGACTACGCATAGAGAAAGTACGATGATGTTCGCAAAAAAGAGTATTTGAAACTATTTTATTTTTTTTATTTCCACAAATAAAAATTACAAATTAGAATATCTCTATAGTATGAACTTCAGAAATTTAAAGATTTGAAGAACAAACCAAAAAATATTGTTGAAAGAAACGACATAGGATTAAATTTTGTCAACAATGAATAAATCGTTTAAATTTGTAAAACTATTTTTATATTTACATAAAGATAGGTTGAATGATACAAATAATTCGCAAATGCTTTTGATCTAAATGTTTTTTTTTAGAAAAAAGTCATATTAAATTTGTTTTGATATTACTATTTTGTTCAGCTTCTTCATGTTCATAAATGGAAATGCGTTGATTAAAGAAGAAGCTCCTAATTTCACATTTCCGCAGGAAATTCTCTTCTCGACTTTAATGATCAGTCCGATTATTAATTGCCATGAAATCAAATACGTATATCGGTTTCCATATATTATGGTGCAGATTTCGGAGAAATAATCACAACCCTGGCTAAAACTAGTTTTTACGCAAATGGTTTATTAAGTGGTTTTCGTTAATCTGTATAGTAGTTTATTAATTAAGAAAACTATTGCAATGAAATGAAAATTATTGAAGATTGATTATATGTTATAAATATAATTAAAAATATGTTATAAATTTCATATGCGTGCTCCACAAAACTATATACTAAACCTTATTTTGTCGAATAACTCGAAAACGCGAATACCTCCAGAAATGGTTTCAATTAGAAAAATATGCACATTTCTTATTAGTTTCATGTTACATTCACAAAATTCAACAAAAAATAACAATTTAAAAAATTTCGTCATTTTCACGAAAAAGAGGAAAAAATTTTTCCACAAAACTATATACCCACTTGATAAAAAACCCAGAAAAGGCATCGAGAGATAGAATTTGAAAGAAATTGAACATTTAGTAATTAACTGGACCTCCATTGAGTCGTGTTACATCAAAAATTCGACTGTCCATTGATAAATAAATATTGTCAAGAAGCTGTTGATCGACAAGCTTCCAGGCTTCCACGATTGCCTTTTTGAGATCCGTAATTGAATGAAAAGACTTGCTGCCATCGTAAATCTTCTTTACCATAAATTCCCAGACATTCTCGATAGGGTTTATGTCTGGAGAACAGGCTGGCCAGTCGATAACTGGGATTCTACGGCTGCGTATCCACTGGATGGTGCGGCGAGTGCGATGACTATTTCGACGCCAAAATGGCAAGTGACCACGTCTTATGACGTATCGGTAGTCAGAACCACTTATCTTCGGATAACGAAGCACAACTTGACTCTTCCATGCGAACTGATTGCCGCCCACAAATAAACTATCTTTCCGGTAAAAAAAAAAAAAACGACTTAAATTGCATATCCAAAAAAATGTGTTTTTACGGATTTCTGAAATATTGCCTAAAATTCTTATTTGGTAAGCGCGAATCATGTCTAATAGCTCATTATATCGGCAATTGCGTAAGAAACAATCGGAAAAAAAGTTCACGGAAAAAAGTTTGGTTTCAAAAGAGTTATACCCAAAAAACCAAAAGTTTTGAACCTTTTGAGCGGTACTGTATATCTTAAACGAATTCAAACAGTAGAAATTTGAGTCACGCACCACGGATTGGCTGAGAATGAAATTTTGAGAAGGAAACTCACTGTAAATTGGCGCAAAACGCTCGTTTTCTTTTGAGATTGTAAAAGTTGTGTCATAGTTCTATTTTATTATCTTAACATACTGCTGTATGCCTTATTTAAATTTTAGATCAATATTCGTAATTTGAAATAACTTTTATTGCATTTCTTCCATCGTGAGATTTGCTCAATTCCGTTTTTTATTTTAAAAAAATATGCTCAACACTAAACGCTCTACATTTACGCTAAAACAAGGGCAAAATTTCACACGATGCAACCATATGGACATTCTCCCAATGGGGACTGCTGTTCTCGATTTACAAGGTACGCTCAATTCAACATTTATTCTTTTTCGTATTACGCTTTGAAATTTTCACGTTTTCTTTCAAATTGGAAGTCTAAATTTAAAAAAAATCAACTGCGTGTCAAAATTAAAGCGAATGTCAAACAAAATTCCAATTTACGCTGACCTCGTTTTACCTGTCAAATTACGAAAAGGAATAAATGTCATATGGCTAGCAGCTTTATTAGAATTTTCTTATAACTTTAAATTTTTAATTATACAATTCGTACGTTTTATACTGTATTATTGCAGATAATGGGAAACAAACAGTCGAAGAATGACGACTACCAAAATTGCACATGGGTGTCTTTCATTGATTCAATTAAAGAAATGAACAGAAAGTAAGATTAAATAGAAATTAATAATAAGTCGCTAGTATTCAGTTATCGAAATGTTTTGGTTGATAATGATGAATACTTGTGTTTTGCGTTGCGAAAAGTTGATATGAATTTTGAATATAACGTGAACTGGAAGGATAAAATTAAAATTATTTGCTGCCGGGTGGGTTTTCATTTAAAATTGTCAATTTTATCATTCATTCAGGTTAATTGCAAGACAAACATGTTCTATTCCGGAAGAACATTGGATCTCCGCGAATTCTATAACGCCTATAATCTGCACAAGGTGCTCATGACGAAGAAAACGGTGACTGATCCAACAACTACTAGTCAATATATACTGGGTCAATCGTAAGTAATATTTCGTGTAGAGAAAGTATTCATGTAAGAATATTCAGATCTGACATTGAGGGAAACTGTGTCATATGTATGGATATTCCGAATCAGGTAAATTTTATTGAGAGTTCAGTGAATTGAATCAAAGAACGCTTCTTGAAAGCATTGGCATAATTTTATGATTAGCAGCCGAGAAGAATTTGTCACGTTAAATAAATTGTTATGTATCGGAATCATAAAATTATCATCTTTGATTATTGAAGTGATGTTAGGATAGTCGATCCCCCAACTTCAATATAAAAAGTTTTGCCAACAATTTACTAAGGAAGTATTTGGCGTCATACCACAGGTTTTGTTCAGTTCTCGTGATATTGCGGCAGAAATGAAAAAGAATCATTATTCACAGTGATTGATATCGTTTTTTTTGTAAAATTTTTATTAAGCAAACATTGAAGTTAGGCCCGCGAGAAAAGTGTAGTTTTGTCCGAAAACATAATCAAACAACCAAAAATTTATTACAGGTCCTTCTTCCATGTCTTCACTCATTTTGCTTGTCCTGTATTGCGGCTGAATTCGAATATCGTCAGAAACATTTTTCGTGCCCAATATGTAAAACACCGATTGAAAATCCTATTGAGTCTTCTTGGGAAGTTCCCGATGCACCAACCGATACAGAAGTGACTGAATATTTGAGAAAAATTGCGCAAAGTTTAAAATGAATATTGCCATTCTTGTCATTCTTAAATACGGATATTGTATATAATTAAGATTTCTCAATGCCTTGTTGTATAATTTTGTAGTTAATATTGATTGTTATTTTGCCATACTTGTACAATCGAATTCATTCCGATCAATTATCAGTTTGCTAAACTAGAGAAATTTAATCATTACACTGTAATTATTAATTAATTGGCTTGTACTTTGACTTATCTACGGAAATTGAAGACACTATGTTGAAAGGGTAGCCCGCTAAAATCTTTTTAAATTTTTTTATTTACCGCCGGTCTGCTTTTAGAATGAAGTACTACTTTTAATCACAAAAATCGCATCACTTTTTTTTTACCAAAGACCACAAATCATTAAATGTCTGGTTTTGATATTTTAAGTTGTATTGAACCTTGTAAAAGATGATAAAAATTTTCAAATGTCTATGCAATTCACTAGTAGAAATTTCAGAATTGGATAACAGTGAAAAATAGAGAACGCTTCGGGTAAAATAGTTTTTTTTCTTGGAAATTGCAACTCTAATATTCTTATAATTATACTACATTTCTATTTGTGGAAAATTGAGAAAAAATTTCGTGGTGTTGTTTGTTCCTATTTCGAAAAATGCAACGGCGTCAAATGATTCTTTAAATAATTGTTTGGAGAAAATATATTGAAATGGACATTATCGCCATGCAACTTTTAAAGTAAATCGGAAAAGTTCCATGAAAACTCCTCAAATAATGGTTTCGGTTTGGTGCAGGATCACAAAATTCTATGTATATGTGACTAATAATGAATTTAGCCAAGCTTATATAAATTCAAATTTGAAATATCCCATAACCAATGCAGTTAATTCGCTGGTTGCTAAAAATTGAAATTGTTCATTAATTTATAAATGCAAGTTGGGTTGAATGTTTGATTTCAATCCCTGCAGGAGTAACTGGACAATTCATGCACCATAATATTTATTTTTGTACCAAATTTACACTTGAATAAACAAAATGTGACTAGGACAACTGTTTCGTTTGGCAAACTATTCCAATGTCAATGTTTCGTTGTTTGATTTTTATTCAATAATTATATATTTGAAATCCCTAGTCGATTTATTAGTAGTTCAACTAAAGAAAAAAATACGGGTTTTATGAAAAAATTTAACCGGTATCAAAAAAAAAAATCATTTAGAGAAATACAATTGTGCATTTTAGTTTGTGTGCATATGATCTGTGGTAATGCTATCAATCTCGTTGCGCAGTTGATAAGATTGTTTTTTTACGACATCGCGGTTGATTACATATCAGCGCAAACATTGAACATCCGAAACAAGTGGGCGGGGAATAAACTTACATACATAAGTTGACGTTGGGTAAGATCGGATCACAATATTCCAATTATGATTCTTATAATCGTTGTCATATGTGTTATTATTGCTCTAACAATTGGGTTGGTTATTGTTATTTTTTAATATTAAAAGAAACTCAATTTCTCAGATACTTCAAATGGAAACACTCGTATTGGAGCAGACGTGGAATCGAAGGACCACCACCTTCACTCTTTCTAGGAAACTTTTATGATGTGTGCTCTCGTGATAATCCACGTCATCAAGTTATCTACGAATGGTCGAAGGTTCGATATGAAGATTTTCGTCAAATTCATAATATTTCAGAAATATGGAAAAACGTTTGGCTACTATGAAGGAGTGAACAAGGTTTTGGTAACAAGTGATCTGGAAATTCTCAACGAAATGTTCATCAAAAAATTTTCTGATTTCTACGCAAGAAAGGCGTGAAAATTTTTGTGGATATCGTAAACGACTAGTTTTGCAGTTGACCAACATCATTCATGGAAATATGGAATGCCCAAAAGAAGAACCGCAAGTAAACATTTTTACCGCTCAAGGCAACCGTTGGAAAAGATTGAGATCACTTGCGTCACCTGCGTTTTCGGTAAAAGCAATGAAACAAGTTAGTATTTATTTCAAAATACTGCCCAATATATTATGTTCAGATTCACAGTATTGTCGAAGATAGTGTTCTAAATATGGTTCAACTGATGTCCAAGCATTCCGATGACAGTTCTTTCAACATTCATGAATACTTTCAAGAATTGACATTTGATATCATTTCGAGACTTGCAATAGGACAAACCCACAGTGAAATGTTCAATAATCCAGGAACAGAACTTGCAATCAAGGTGACTTATCATTGGTATAAAGAAAAATAAATTATTTCAGATATTTGGAAAATCATTTCGTGTGTTGCCATGGTACTTGGCGGTAATGTTCCCACAATTCCAATTTAAAATCAAACAACTTTTCTACAATCATAACAATGTTAGAGGAGGTGATATTGGAAGATTAGTCGCATTTTGCAAAGAGTCGGTCTTGAAAAGAATTCAAAAACGAGTAAGTTCAATTTTATGATTTAATTAAATTTTTAATAATAATAACAATTATCTAACAGACTGTATCTTTTTTATATTTAATTAAAATAATTTGAAATCTCCACGAAATTATTTAAGAGAGAAAATGAGGCAAATGGCATTGAAAACGAACAAGATGATTTTATTGATATGTTTTTGGAGCATCATGTCGACGAAGTTCACGATCTAGCATTCGGAACAGCTGCGGTTATTAATGGTCTCAAAAACGTAAAAAATCTCAATCAACATTTGCAGGTCGATAGAAAAGCAACAACAGAAGATGTTATTGGATATTGTATGATTTTCTTATTAGCTGGATTTGATACAACTGCAAATACAATGGGTTATGTCTCCTATCTTCTTGCAAAACATCCCGACGTTTTGAAAAAAGTTCAACAGGAAGTTGATGAAGTTTGCGAAAATGCGGTTTGTGCAGAAATTTTTTCCAACACTTTAACATTAATTCTAAAGAATATATCATTCGATGATATTAATAAGCTCAATTACTTGGAGGCAGTAATCAAAGAAACATTGAGACTCTATCCCGTTGCTTATTTGTTAGTTGAGCAATACCATTTAAATAGCTAATATAATTTTTCAGCGCTTGCTCACGAGAAGCTGTGAATGATACCATCCTCGGAAAGATAAAAATCGACAAAGGAACATTTATCGAAGCAAATGTAATGGCATTGCATAGAGATCCAGAAGTATGGGGAGAGAATGCCGAAGAATTCCACCCAGAACGGTAACTAAAGCAATCAAGTATGTTCGGAAACTGACATTGAAATTTTAAGTTTTTTGGAGAAATTGGAAAATCCAAGACATGTCATCTCATGGATTCCTTTTGGCGCCGGACCTAGACAATGTATTGGAATGAGATTAGGTTTGACAGAAGCGAAGCTTGGTTTGGCGCACCTACTGAGAAAATATGACATCGTGAAATCAGTGGACACTGAAGTAGTAACAACGGTATAGTTCTTTTCAATGTTTATTCTTCCAGGAAGATTTAGTTTTGCATGGATGCACAACTACATCCCCGGAAAAAGTCACAGTTCAAATTCGATTTCGTTATTAAACATTTTTTTTGTGCTAGACAATTGTACACTGCTGTAAATTTCCGATGTTATTGTTTTTTTTATGCATTTTAGAGAGAAATTAATAAATTTGTGTACTGTAGTTTTGTATAATTGATACACAGCCAAATCGAAAATTATTTTCAAAACTATACTTGCTTCGGTCAAATTTTAATTTAATTGATTGAATTTTCTGAAAACGAAATATAACAAATTCAAAATTGAGCGAGAAAGTGTGTAGGATGAAGTATCTTATATGCAAACTATCTCAGGGAAATCAAATTTTGAGCTTACTTGAGAGATTAACAGTCTCGATAATGTTTTTGAGTTTTTTCTCACGGAATTTGAGGAAATAAATTTTATACGATATAAATTAAAATTTGTTTTTTTTAACCTTCGTTTCGGGAACAAACAATAAAAATTGAGATAATACAAAACAGAATATTCTTATTGAAGCACCTTGTTGAAATTGCCGAAAATATGAAGACGATCGGCCACGAACCATTGAATGCTGAGAAGCTCTACAGTTTGACGGGAATGGCTGACACCCCGGGTAAAGTGCTAACTGTTTGATGGGCGTATTCGATTATGCAAATTTCGAAGAAGAATTTGGCGTCCCAAAATTTAAAACTGGAAGAAGTGCGATCATTTTATCGTTAACTGTAAGCTTTGAGGTGCGCTTTATTTTATCTCTTTTTTTCCTGCACGTACAATTCAAATTATTTACCACTGGTCCACATCAGCTAACAAGGTGTAAGGTAGGAATTTTTGTCTACAATAAAATATAGAGATCGAAAATGTTGCATCAAATTTTTTTTAAGTTGCAGGTTATCAGTAGAACAGTACCCGAATTTCCATTGACGGAATTGCCTCAATTCCAATTGAACACCGCTGCGAGTTATCATTTTGACTACAAATTTCAGGTTCTTTCTTTTTCGTTTAAAATCAATTTTGGAAACGTGAGAATACTTCAGGCCAAATTGTTAATTTGCAACGATAGCGAAACCAAATAATTAAAAAAGTTGCTTCACAGTTGAAGGAAGTGAAGGCAACACTCGTATTGGAGCATACGTGGAATAGAAGGACCACCACCTTCACTCTTTCTAGGAAACTTTTATGTTTATATGATTGCGAGACTTGCTAAAAATTAAAGATACGGATCATTGGAAATATTGTTTACTGATGTATAGATATAATTTACTGACTGGCTATAACGTAGCTGTACTTACTGGACACTTGTGATTTTATTTGCACATGTATGTAATAAATGACAGCATTCAAAAAAGATATCTTACGTGACAAGTAATTCTTAAGTAGTTTTAATACAGGGAAAAATTCAATAATTACACGTTTTTCTGTATTGTATTGGGAAGGGGATTATAAAATCAGTGTTATGACCAGTCGTAATACATGAAGTAATTATCAGTTAAGTCGTGATCATCGACTTGATGACCAACACTTGATTTTTCATTGAAGTTTCGAAATTTTGGTTTTGCTTTTATAGTTCCCGTAATACTTCGATTCTCCAAACGAATACGAACTGGCTAAAATTATAAAAACATAGCGTTGATATGGTAATTCAAAAACTCACTTTTTGTTCAGTTCCTGCTCGAATTTTACCATCCACGAAGTGTGGAATAGGTTCACCGGCGTCGTTCAAAGCAACTTCAATACTGTCAATGATTCCTTTTTTGATAGAAACACCATTCGGAACCGGCTCCACACGAGCTCCAAAAAATCCATCTTTACCATTGTCAATGATTACCGATCTTCTCGTTTTTCCATCAACAACTTTTTCAACAACAGATTTTTTTGAGCCGGAAGCTAGCAGCGATTTGACTTTCGCTGCCAGATCATCCCATGCGATATTCAAATATGTTGTTGGCTGTTGCTTCCCAGAAGGAAGCTGAAAATCTTTTGTTCCATAATACATTTTTTAAAATGTGTTATTTACATTTCCTTGTCCACGGGCGTCAAGAGTTCTCAAATGTTCTTCGACAATTTTCTGATCACTGACAGTTAATTGCTTTGCTTGCATTTTCGGAATACTAGAAGGAGTGATTGGGCGAGATTTCTTTGGGGTATCAGCCTCATCTGTAATTTGACATATTCTTAATTCAGAATAAAGTTTAATACTCACGGATGTGAGCTTCAATATGTGTATCACTCAAAATCGCTTTGTGAATTTCTTTGATTGTTTCCAAATTTACTTTGTTCTTGCCATCTAAAATAATTGAAAACCCCAGTTGGGAAATATTCTAGAATCTTACTCGATTGTCCCTCAATTTTATTCATATTGTCTTTAATCGCTTGGTCAAATTGCTTCTTGTCCTCAGCAGTTTTCAAGCTATCTCGCACTTCGTTTATTTTTTCTTGTGTAGTTTCATGAATGAGCTTTTCCGCCGTTTGCAGGTTTACCGCAGCATTTGTGAAGAACAATAAACTCGTCGAAAACTGGAACAGTTCGAGGGCAGTAGGCCTTTCACCGCTGGCTACCTAAACTTGCAAATTATCTGAATATGGAATACATGAGAATTACCTTCTCAAAAATATTATAACCTGATGCTGTTAATGCGATACCAGAAACGGCAAAGTTAGCAAATATGGCAGCATTGACAGTATATTCAATTGCTTGACTCACTTCGATTCCTTCGGTTGTCATCACTGTTAGGAACTGAAAAAAAAGAATTGATAATAGACATACCAAAAAATCAAAATATGAATTTGAAATATTCACAGCTGAGCCGCCAATTGCTCCAAATGAAGCTAACGAAGCAGCAACCGCAAGCCAGTCGACAAAGTTTTCCCGGCTTCGTAGTGGATTTATATTCTCATTATGGACAGCTCTGTCGACAATGTGATATCCGGATCTTGCCATTGTGTATACGCCAGTTCCAATAGCTGTATACAATAGAGTAGTGGCTGCTACTGGTGCTAAAGGCGTAAAAAGACCAATGACCGATCCGATTGTTGCAGCAATGCCGATTCCCATGGCACTTCGATCGCTTATCTATAAAATGGTTTAGAAAAAAAACCAACACGATAAGTTACCTTAGCGATTCTGCTGGGAAACTTACTTTTTCTTGACACATCATACCTTAAATTCAAATAGCTTTTGTCTTCTATCTAAAATAAAATCGTTCTTAATTTAAATTACACCCTGCTGGAATACCTCGTAGAATCCATTATTTGGATAGATTATGTAACACTCAGGTAATTTGTTTCTGTCAAGAAAATCGTCCCAGCCGTCGTAAGCTCGTCCGGATGATTCAACAAATAGGTTTTTGGTGGGACTTATGCAAATACAAACCAAAGGAAGCTGTAGAAATTATTGAACTAAGTAAATTTTATTGTAACTTACAATATTTGATTGAGCTCCTTCAGCAAAAAACGAAACAAAAACGAATTTTGTTTCTAAGATGTTTTTGTCCCCTTCTTTAAGTTTTTTCTGTTTTCGATTTATGTCGAATAGCTCGTCGCGAAGCTTCAGGATGTGCTCTTCTTGCTATAAAAAAAGTTTTTGAACGCCCATTGGTCTAAACTGTTCTTTTAATACCTGCTTGGAATATCCAAATTGTGAAACAAATTTTTTGTCAACTTTTTTACCAGAATCTTTACCGTCTTTTGAAGCCTCCACTTCAACAACTTTTATCAACTCTTCAAGTTGATCTGGTGTCAAACTGTTTCTTTCCTCTTGAGGCAAATTTGTGGGGTACTGATAAAATGCAAATCCAATTTTTCTTGCCAAATTTTTACATTCCTCCTCAAAGTAAATATTAATGTTTATAGTCATTTGAAATTTCTTACCTCATTATTTTTCGAAATGCGGAACCAATCAAGCTTTGCAAGTCCAATACCATAATATTTTTGAGTTACAATTGCTGCCCCAATTAGATACTTCTTTTCAAGTCTTGGATTTGTTTGAACTGCTTCAAACATTTCGATCTCTTCACTTCCTTTCTTTTTAATGAAGCATGTGGCACAGATGCCATAATCTTCACAGATTTCGGGACATCTAAAAATAGTCCGTTTCATTTTTTTTAACCATGAAATGAGCTTTTTACACATATCGCAATCCGGGAAACACTTTTGATCCGCAACTAGCACACGGGGTTTCATGAACAGGAAACGCTACTGCAAAAATAGGTCATTGCAGAACAAAATGCTCAAGAAAAACGTACATTTTCCAAATGGTGACATATCAAGTCTGTAAGAATGATGCATGTGTGGATGTTCTTCCGGATATTCCATTGACTTTTTCGAATGAATGGTTTCTTCAACGATTGTGTCGTTATAGCATGTTGCACAGATGTGGTGACTACTGCATAAATTGCATGTGAACATAGAACCTTTAAAACTATTATTTTAATGAATTAATTTTGAAACGTTCATACCAAAAATCACCATACCGCACTCTGCACAATCTTCATACTGACAATCGGAGTATTCCGGCCATTTAATTGGATTCGTACCTTCCATAGTATCTTTAACACAAGATTTTGATTTTTTTTTCATTCCGGAGGAGATAGCGTCACATTGAAATATGAAACAGCGAGTATAAAACACATTATATTTGCATGTGGGCAAAAGCAGATCGAATAAAAAGAGAAATCAATTTTGTAGATATATTCAGGAGAAAAATTATTTGAAAACTGCAAAAAATACTGTAATAAAGAGCCAAAATTAGCATATCTGAGAGCTAACTGAAAACATAATTATAAAGATGATCACAAAACATTAATTTAAATTCAATGTAAAATCAAAACTAAGTGTTACTACATAAAAATAGTAGAAAACAGTGAGAGTTGAAACAAACATTCGACAGAGGCACGCTGTTTGTTCGTTTCGATAACGCCTCTGTGTGTGTTTCCGTATTATTCTCGCCATTTTGCTTTCTCTTTCGGCTGTTTGACGAAACAACTTTCATCATCAATAGGTTCAATAGGTACGGCGACTTTCCGGATGGTGAACACACATTTCAATAAAAAAAAACTATGATTCAACTTAAAAATGACAGAATGGGCGGGCATCGTTAAAGGGTATTTGAATCCGATTATTCTAACAAGTTACATATATTGCTGAACATTTTGAGGTTTTGCAGGAAAAAAAGATGTGATGAACGAATAAAATTTGAATAATTCAAGTCGTATGATTGCATGTAATAACTCAGCATGTTTATCCGAAATTCAAATATTTGATTTCTGTGTGTTCCTGAAAATTTGCTATGAAGCATGAATGATTTTCATTCGTTTCCGGGAGAAAAAGTAAAATTCACAAAAGAGGCGCTGAAAATCATAACTGCATTTTACGACTTTCACACCCTCATTGAAATTTAAAATGGGTAAATCCTGAAAAAATTATTTCGAAACTGATTATTTCTGACGTCACTGGGAAATAAAAAACGATTTGATCAGTATTAATGCATTTGTCAAATGACAATAGATTAAATTTTTTCTGATAATAGCTTCGGCAAAGACTGCAATGCAATATAACCGTTTTCATAATATAATCGGCATGAACGGAAATTTTTGGACGAAATTTTGAAAATGGACGATTAATTCATTTTGCGAATTAATCGCAAAGCTATATTTTCCGCAGGAAAATCGACCGGGTACACGCTTTTGGATGATTTGTAGAATGAAAAGAGTTTTTGCGTTGATGAATTTATTGAACGAAGAAGTCAAAATTATTCTTCCTAGGATAGTTTCATGGGGGATTATCTGGCTCCGTTCCCGGCGTCTGTGGTTCTGGTGTTGATGGTTCCGACCCAGGAATACCGCTTTGCTTGATAGAATAAGCCACAGTTGGTGGCAAGCTGAAGACGTGACACATTGTACAACACTCTTTGCACAGAAATACAGTTTTATATAGGGTTTTTTAAATTGAATAATCGAATGACCGAATTAAATGAAAAAAAAGATTCGATTATTTTTTGTTAATATACAAAGAAAATACAATTTTGGTCTCTTCAAAAAAATGATCGACAGTTGATGTGACCCTGTTTTCAAAAAAAAAAAATAAAAATAAAAATAATTAACAAACAAATAATATGAACTCATATGAAAATTCATCGGAAATTTATTTTCTAAAAAAGTACTTAATTAATTCAAAGCACGTTTTTTTATTTAGGACAAGTATCGCATATTCTCGATTTCACTTATTTATTACACTGATTAAAAGTCAGTGTGAACATTATAATTTGCATATGTGGGTGGCACAACTAATTTAAGAAAAAAATGTGGGAAATGTTCGAAAAAAAACTAACATAGCTAGAGATATTAAAAATTATTGCATTCGAATTGTAGATAATTATAATATATATGAAACATTTAAATATTGTTAGTGGAAATATATTTTATAATTAACAGAAGTCATTTTCAATTTCATTTTTTGTGATTTTAATTTGTTTCAAAAAGCTTAGTGTCTCACAAATTTATTTTACATTTTGTGCTGGGAAATTTATGCACCGGTAAACCTTCTATTATTATCTGAAAACTCTGTTAACTATAATTTTGTTTGCTTTGTTTCTATATAATTAAATTTGCCTTGAAAAACTATGACATTAACACGATTCTGGCTAGTCATATTTTTCTCGCCCGTGCTTCAGCGTAGTGTTGCCAAGTTACCGAAACGCCTAACTTTTTCAGAAAGCAATCCTAATCACCATTTTTCATACATCAGCTGCTCCGTGATCGGTTCAATGTTTTGGAAATTTGTGTGCATTTTAGTATCTGCCACTATTATCGAAGGTATGACCATCTCTATTCCCATTAAAAACTTGCTTAGGTGGTGTGCCATCAAAGAATTGCATTTATAATGGAACTCTGAATGCCCTTGAGGAGAATTGTACGACAATTACAGGAAACGTTATAATTAAATCAACTGACGTCCCAACGGTTTTATAAAATCTTGCTGTTACTAGAAAACGTGTAGGATTTCAGGTCCTCTACAATAAGTTCGTTCATACTGTAGCTATTGATGGATGCGTTCAGATAGAAGGAACCCAATTGCAGGGGCTCGATATGTTTGCACGTTTGCTAACAGTAAAATGTGTCAACTCAAGTAATCACGCCTGAATATTTTGAAATAACATTAAATTTTTAGGTTTCGCAGTTGATTTTTATATTGGAAATAATACTCAGTTAGAGCGGCTCGGAATGCCAGTACTAACGTATTTGAATCAATGAAATATATAGTTTTTGTCATTAATCATTATAGAGTCGATCGTCTTGGTCTGACGTCAAACCCGAAATTGTGTCTTACTCATGAAGAGATGATACGTCACAAAAACATCCAACGTGCCTTTACTGATAACATTTTGACATGCCAAGGCAAAAGCGGTAGAAAATATCTCTCTTTGCCATTATACGCAATCAACCAAAAAAAACTTATTTAGGAGAAGTGAAAGAATGCAACTCGACTGCGTCGTCGGCAAACGCTGGATTGATCGATGGTTGTGAGATTGTACTAGGCGACTTGTATATTGAAGGGATGGATAACGCCGATATTTCCAATAAACTGTAATATGTAAAGGAAGTGAATGGTCGAATTTATATTCGAAACACAAATCTTGGAGCTGTTGCTTTTCCAGCGTTAGAGAGAATATTGGGGGCTGAACCAATGTCACTTCCACGTAAGTCATAAACGTTTTCAGGCGAAGTGTCATGTCGTGAATTAAGGCAATGACGCAACTATTGAAATCACTGGGACCACAAACTTCAGTTCTCTCGATATGCCAAATATAAAATTTATGTCGAAAAATGATTGTTCTCTGTCGAGTACCGACCCTCACTATGTCGTAAGCCAACAATTGTGCAATAAGCTTTCTGCATTTGGAAGTGTTTCAACAAACGGTACAATATGTGGTAGGCTTTTTTGCGAACGTATCCTACCAGTATATGAATTGCTTTCAGTGTCTAAGAGGGCGTATTCCGGTCACTTCATTATTGGCATAATTGTATCATTGTTCGCGACGTTTTAACTGATTTTCAGAACGTCCTTTCCTTTGTTGGTCTCTCTCTCTCATTTCCTTTGTATAATATACATATATAAAAGAAATTGTTGTCGCGAATGCATAATTATATCAAACAGTCCAGATTTCCGAGGTCATTCGAGTACGATGCTTTTTGCATGATAAAACGAACCCCTCACGACCGGTTTTTACATATCCCCAATCAGCCCCTTCTTCTCAATTTTCACTCAATTCAATGCAATCGTCTTCCTCTATTTGCAAGGCGGTGAAGATCGCTTTGAAGTGTCAGTAACTGGCGGAACGAACGTTGGGTAAAAAAAAGAACGAATAATGATACGACAACTGATCCTCATTGTTTCGTTGTGTTTTTTTGCGATTGTCTGTCCAACATCAATTTAATGCAATAGTAGGCTGGATTGCATCTAATTGATATGAGGAATTAATGATTCAAATTTCGACGCGCTGTCATTTCGTCAACGAGCGGTTCCTTCAAGATCTGACGATTTGCAAATTTTTTTGAAAATCTTTGGCAGAAACAAGAAAAATAGATAAAATCAGTAGGTTTCATGTTGCGCACACCTTGTCTTCCTTTTCAAAAACCTTTCCTCTTCGCAAACATAGGCTGCCGTTTTTCTGTCATCAGAATTCCTTGTTCTTGCGATGCCATACCGAATTTGAAAGCGCGAGAAAAAAAAAGTGGCAATGGCAACACGAAAACGTCTTGCCAGAAACTTGTCCGCTGCCAAGTTTCAACGCAATTGGCGCCTACCCTCTCCCTTCTTATTATTCATTCCCCTCATCGTCGTCTTCTTCGGATTACCGGATTGATTTTATCCCGCCTATCAAGGACATTTTCCTCCTATTTCGTATCAAAATGCCAGCGGCAGTTGGCGTTTTTTTCTTCCGCCCTTCTCTTGCCAAATAACGATAAAAAGTTTTTGAATATTTTATACAGTAATAGTAATAATAATAGAAATATTAATGAGGTATAATAACTTTAACAAAGTACTATTGTCCCTGACAATTAATAAGTGAACTTTTGCTTAGTGCCTCAAAAACAATTCACAACATTATTGACCGTGTTTCGTCCTTTTTAGTGATCCATAAGTGAGTAAATAGTTCAAGACAATGGTAGTTTCGATCATGAGAACTAGTTCCCATGGTTCTCAAGATGGAAGAACAAATGTCTTGGGCGGTACAGGCGTTCTCGATGTATTCAATCATATGACCAAAAATCCAATTACTAGTTCTATTTAGTTAGATCCCAACTGTTTCTTCCCTCGTACAATCTCGCTATGCTGCCTTTCGCAACGCCACATATTATTTTAGTGATGCTGAGGTTTGCTGTCTTCGTCTTACTTGTCCAAATCGGTGTCGCTCAAGATAATGGAGTGGATTTTGATAATCCAGGAGTTTGCACATATACTATAAATACTTTAAAACAATATTATTTATTTACAGAACTGCGGAACAGAAGCGTCTAATTGGAAGCCCTGTATCGAGAGAAAAATTGCGGATCAAGTTTTTGGAAGCTGCTGCTCGCGTTTCGTGCCACCAGAGTGCCGCGGGCTCTGCATCTATGAAACCAACGCAATTGAAGCGAGAGTTGTGGTAAATTTAGAAATCAGATTCCAATCTTGAAAATTGTCAATTCCAGCTGATGCACACTATCCAGCCATCAAGATGTCGTCTCTACAAATACTTGCCAGCCATTGTGCACTGCGCCGCGCAGACACACGACAACTCGGAATGCTGCAGAACGAATGGTGTCGCTGACCTAGGCGAGCAATGCGTACAAATGTGCCAGCCACAATCAAACCCGCGAAAGTTCTGGGGAGTCAAATCTCTAAGAAAAGACATGGTTGTCTGTCTTGCGCGATGGGATCAAATTATGCAGTGCCACCAAGCAGGACTACGTGCTCGAAAAGTCCCGCGTTCGTTGGTTTAACTGCGAAAGTTCGTTCTCATTGTTAACGTATTCGATCATTATAACATATCGTTTCCAGCTAATTTTATTATTTCTTTGATTATCGTCGATAAACACATAAAAATATTTCACGAAAAATAAAATGTATAAATTGAATGAAGGCAAAAAATATAAATGACTCATAGCAATTAAAAAAAAACTGCAAAAAAACAGTGTTTCCTGGTTACGTTTCCATAGATGCATTCATTCGTTTTTCTATGAAACGAGAAGAAAATCATACGTGCTGACATTGTGTAAGCGTAAATTGTGGTTAGTTAGCAAAATACGCAATTTTTAGAGAAATTGGTAACAAAACGTCGATGGTTTCTTTCTCAATATCGTTCTGCCCTTTTAATTTTTGTTTTAAAAATTCGCAGAAATGTATTATGTTCAAATTTACATATTTCATTTTGAAAAACTGCAAAAACACATTCGGTGTTAATTAGTTAATTAATTGGAAAGCTTTAGATTTCGAATCTTTTCTTTGAAAAAATTCAGTGAAACAAAAAAAAGATAACACGATTATGTTCGATAATCTAGGTTCCAATCATAACCATTGCATTTTTTCATTTTTTCGGCGTAAACCAAATTATGAAAAATTATATTTTTTCTTTTTCACATACATATGTGAAAGAGAAAAAAAATGTAATCTTGAGAATTGAAATTAAGCTAATTTGTGAAATGCTCAACAGCTTTGGATGGCTTCTCCAAGTTTCCCAACCTTTAAAAGATGCAAGATTGCACACACACTTGAATCTCACATTGGAATTTGTGACCATTTCATAACGCGCTCGTTGCCTCCACTGTTTGCATCCATAATTCTCTATTAACACAATGCTATTTCGTTTATCCATTTTTTGGCCGCAAGCTCTATTCATTCGAATTAGTTTTTGGGACACTGTTAATATTAAAGATCGTTTTTCATCTTCTTTACTACTTTCAATCACTGGAACTTTTTTCGTCATCTTTCCTTATTTCATTTTCTTCACAACTCTTATTTTTCGCGCTCTTTCAATTTTTTTGTCACTGAAATCTCAAAACAAGATAAAAAATGAATAGAAAGTGGATGAGAAAAACTGATCTTTCTTCTTCATTACACATTAACCCGTTCCCATTTATATGTATTTGAATTGTGAATGAGAGCGACGCCGCATCGAAAATTGCGATGGCGCTTATTGAAACTACGAATTGGGTAAAAGAAAGTTTTTTTTTAAAGAAATGGATAGTTGAAAGAAGACAATTTCCTCGTTTATTTTTTTCTCGGTTTTATTGATGGATTTTATTGATGATCGGAGAGACATGTGTAAACTTGTGGATAAGTACAAATGCCACGTCTATATAAACAAAGTAGATCGTTGAAGCGCATAAGTAAGAGGATTAGAGTTATACATATACTCTGTTTTCCAAATGTTTCCACTTACTTTTGATAATAATATCGACGTACTGTGAAAATTTGGACAAATGCCAAAACATTTCACAAAAAATTTAGATCTATGGTTTTTTTCCTCTAATCGTATTATATTAAGAAACAGATATTTCCTCACACTTTAATATTTCATCAAATTCATTAAGCTCGCATCCTCTAAAATAGTCTTCTTAAATTTTTTATATGAGAGCTTGTAAATATTGACAAATGTTAAACATTTGCGGGTTATACAGCTTTTTCAATTACATTCGAAATTTTTTATCATTCCGTATTAAGCTCTCGTTTTTATTTTATAATTTTTAGGTTTTTATAAATTTTCAACTGGCTGCAGGTTATAAATTTTTGGTATATACATTTCTTAAATTTGTTTGAATCGTCCTAAAATTTTGAAATAACCCAAAAACTTTTCGAATTTTCGACTATCCACTAATTATATTTTATTATGCAGTAACACATTCAAGCCTTTATACAAACAGTGTTAAACTTTTCAAAATCCATTAAATTTGTTCTGTTTATTACGTTTTCATTGTTCGTTTTAACGTTTATCAAGTTTCGGAATAATCAAATACATATATTTCGCACATAAAAAATATTCCTTTTTTTCTTGATTTTTGAAAAAAAATTGAAGACATGAAGAAACCGTGAAAATTAAATGAATACGTGAGTTTATAACTTGATGTCCGAAAAATGTGGTTACGAAACAGTCTAGAGTGACTCATTGGTGCTATATAAATATAAGAAATCAATGAATCGACCGTTATTTTCTACTACTCCTTGGTTTTTAGAGATTTTCGACTTTTCCTATGTTTCTACTTCTGTATCAATCATTTAATTTGTTTCTAGTATCGTGAATTATTATATGCTTAAAGCTTTATTTGAAGGTAAAAACTTTCGGTAATTATTTTTAACTGAAAAAAAAGTAAATTTATATTACACATCACATCACTTATTATAAAAATAGCTCTGCAAAACATCATTTTCAGGAGTAAGCTGCTTATCTTTTGTTATTCCTTTTATCTCTCTAAGACAAATAATGCAATTTTAGCTTGCCCAAAAAAGGAGTAAATAGTGACAATAATTGACAATCAATTATGTTGTGAGCACGCTCACGTAAACTATTGTAATCTCGTAGGTTATGGAATATTCTAGAACCCAGCCCCTCACGTAAACATCCCCACACGCACATTGTAGAACATTCTAGAAGCCTCACGTAAATATCCCCACACGTGCATTGTAGAACATTCTAGAAGCACATCCCCACTAGTATAAATACCCGGCCATCATACATTGTAGTGTTCATCTAAGGATATAATAAAGCTATCCAACTCTACATAACTGTTCACTTCGATCCCTACGCTTCGGCACCATACACGCGGAACTCAAGGATACAACAAATTATAGAAAATATTTTCTGAAAATGAAATATTCTTCAATACAGTCGTTGGCGTCTATTCTACAGGGTGTCATTTATGTTCTCGCACAACTTTGAAGACGTATATTTCTGAAACTAAAAGTCCAAATCAAACGAGACTCGAAATATTTTTTTCTATAGTATAACAAATAATTATCTTTTAACTCTTTTCGATTCGGTCTTCTTTCGCAGCTATGACTTCACGGAGACGCTTCGGGTAGGATGTGACTGTGGTACGCAGGTGTTCGATGGAAAGATTGTCCCATTCCGCCAGTAATGTCTTCTTCAGAGCCTCTATACTTGAGTGGGGTTTTGCGTTGACCTTCCCCTGCAAGACCCCATCACGGAAAAGTCAAGCGGTTTCGGGTCTGGGGAGCGATCAGGCCATTCGGATGACTTGATGAAGTCGGGAAAATGGGTCTGGCACCACTCCTGAGTAGTTTTGGCAGTGTGGGCGGGTGCTCCGTCCTGTTGAAAGACCCATTTCTGCCCACCGAAATGCGTTTGGGTACAGGGCATCACATGATTCTCCAAAATGTCCCGAACGTAGACTCCTCTGTTCATTTTCACCCCCTGATCCACGAAAACCAGGGGGCACTTCTCGGTTGAGCAGATGGCACCGAAAACCATCACACTGGCAAGATGTGAGGCTGGATGAATTGTTCTTCCTTTCTCAGAAGCTTGCTGGGATGTCTGGGCAAGTACTCAATGGTTTTGTGAGTTGAATGCCGCCTCCACAGTGAACAGCTTCTCATCGAAGAAGACAGTGACGAGGTGTTGTCCAGACCGCGTGCGAGCAAGAAGTCGTTTTGCTTTTTCGAAGCGTCTCTGCTTGCTGACGGCCGATAGAATTGCCGCCTTTTGGACACGATATGGGGTCAGTCGAAGCTTCGTTTTGACGATTTTTTCCATAGCGAAGATGCTCATTCCCATGTCTGACGCCATCGTTCTCATGCTCCTGTGGGGTTTTCGCCTGATCCTCGATTTAACGTCGTTGATCTTCTGAGGAGTGATTACTGAGACGAGTCTTCCTTGTCTGGGACGGTCACTGGTCGTATTTAGCTCCTTGAATCGTTTGATGGTGTCATAAACCGTTCTACGAGGCACACCGACCCGTTGAATGATGTCTCTCGGGCTCACATTTTGCTTATGAAATTCGATAATGGAAGCACGATGGATGTTAGCCTTCGCCATTTCTCGGAAACACATCCGAATGAGGCAAGCTCTTCATGGCGTCAAACTTTTGTGCGGGAACTTAAATGACACCCTGTATTTTAAAACTTTTGGAGTTATGTTTCTTATGTGTGACGTCGATCTTGGCTGAGATTTGTATTCTTTTCATTTAATTTTCAGCCGTTTCAGCCCGCTTTCAAAATTTCATTCTCATTCTGATAATTGTTTTCAGAGTTCGTTCTCTTTCAAATTGTACATCGAAAAGAACCGATCAATTTGTATTAATTTGATTGCTTAAAAATCTTTATCACTCTAATCAACGATATTCTACAGTAATTTCATTGCGCATGATGTAGCCATCATTGAAAATCTTCTCGTATAGCGCAACTGGCATGCTCAAAAATGCTTGCTTGAAACATAAATTATTTGGATGCTGGATTTCTTCAAGTGTCTAGCACTCTGCGCATTCGGCACCAAGCATTCACAATGAACGACTTGCTTTCTTTAATATACATGTCATTTCCTTTTTCCTGTTCAACTTCTTACTGTTTTGAATAATGCCACTTAAAGTTCTCGGCAATAATCTCTTCCAATTGATTTTCTTCCGATAACATCAATACAGATTATAGTACTTTCCGATAAACGATATTGTTGTTTTTGCGTGAAATTCAATCATTCATTACGAGAAGCCATCTTTTTGACTTGTCTAGATTTTTCTAATCCCTCTCCCGATTTTTTGCTAAAGAAAATTTGAAGATTTACTCAGAATTAAACGCTTCTCAGAAGAGACGTGTAGAGCTGGAAGAAAAGTTGGTCTGTTGTTCGTTTTTTTCTGTCGTATTGCCTCGAATTTTCTCTGCTTCTCTCAACCTTCAGGCTCACTAAAAAGCAAGTAAAATTCGAGTTGAAATTGCACGGAACATGTTGTCTTGCAGTAAGCCGGTTATTTTTTCTGTCCGAGAAACCAGCTGTTTTATCACGAAATTTGAGAACAAAAAAGTAGTGATCCCTTACCTCAAAAAAGATTGACGTATGTGAGTATCAACAAATACTATTTCCTCGTCTTTTTTTTCTCAGAATCTTCATTTTCCAATGCGGAAATTGAATACCCTCATTTTTTCATAAGTTAGAAAAAATAAGCAAGTGAATCCTTCTTTTCGAAATTTAGTATAATTTTTCGTTAATTTATTGAGAAAATGAAACAACTTAATATCAAGGTAAGATTTTCCAAAAACTTATTGTCAGAGTAATTACCCTTGTATTAAGAAATTTGTGAAGTACACTTTTGAGAATTTCAGAGTTCGATTTCTTTTCGAAACTCTGGCATTTAATTCAAACAAATTTTCGATACTTTTCTTTTTTCCGAAATTGGATTTTATAAGCTTGTTTGCGGTATTGAAAACCATTAAAAAATTGTCTGTTTCGATAAAACAGAATTAAATGCTCTTCGAAAGATGTTGTAAACGAATTTTCTCGACTTCCTTTTTTTTCACAATTTAATCGCTATTCGTTTTTTTCGTTTAGCAACGATTATTTAAAAGACATTTCAATTTTGAAGTAATAAAGTAATAAAGTTTACTTCACTTTCCACAAAACTAATCGTTCGGTTAGAATTTTTTAATATTTTTGTTTACGAAGTAAATATATAAGAAAAGCTGAGATATTCTCACAAAAAAAAATTAAATTGATTATGGTTTCCAGATTATTTTGGATTGTCCGAATTATTGACTTAGCAAATTCACTACTGAGAATTTGTCACTCTGCAATTGGTGTTTCCGTCTGTTCATATAACTTGATTTTGAACTACTGCATTAAATTTTACATGTGTCAAGAAAATCCATGCATTATTTCCACGAATTGTGCAAAAATGATGATGAGAGGAAATTATCTTTCTCGACACATGTGGCTCACCTCCGCAATTTTTTATGGTCTCATCATTCATCGAGAAAATAAACTTTGAATGTTTCCTGACGGTCGAATAGACTTATGGGAATTCTAAGCAAACATTTTGAACAAGTCAATTTGTTTCGGTTGCATCTAGTTGTTCAGAAAACTCAATTTTTGTTGTTTTTCTTCAATTCACACAATCTAATTAAGGTTTACAATTTGTGAAATAGTCGTGGTTTAAAAACATTAACACAATTGTTTACTTTTTTTGTAATTTTTGTTTTTATCAATAACTTATGTCATTCGTCACATAATTTTGATGTGAATCGCGTGATTTGAAGAATAATTTTTTCTTGTTATAAAAAAAGACCAGGAGTGAGAAACACGTCTTTTGCGTCTTTCGGAAAGCCAACTGTTCAGTTTTATTTACTTTGTTTTCTTTTTCTTAAAAGCTTTTCTTGACGTATGCAGTCACCAAAACGTTCACTATTACCTTACTTTTTTCAAATCAGTTTGTTCTCATTTAATGTCTCGAAAATGATTACATAGGCTAAAAGTCAAAATTGCTCTCAAATGTAATATTCAACGCTGGTAAAATTTCATAAATTTAACACGCAATTCCATCGACGGAATATAATATTCACGGTCATATGTGTGAACTTTAAAATATTTATTCCACCTACAAATATTTTCTCTCTATTTGGACACTCATGTAATAGACACCTTTTTTTCTCGCATGAAGAACTAGCACTTCTCAATTTTTTCCCGATTTTCGCAGTTTTTTTTGTGTAATATTTTTCATTCATTTTTGCTTTGAATTATTTTGTTTTCCGCTTTTTAAAATTAGTCATTTTTTGGTACCAACTATATGGAACGCGATTCTATCTACATATCAGTGAAAAGTTTGCTGCTGGATTTGCGCTCTCAGTGGGATTACGAGAATTGTTTAGACTTGGACAAAAACGCCAAGAATGACAAGAAGAGCCAGCGTAAGAACTCGGCTCCGTCCAGAAGATATTTCTTCATGGGTTGAGCACAACCAGGTAAACAAATATAGCCGCTTTTACATTTATCGCTACCTATTCACTGAGTGTCTTAAATTGTATATATTTTTTATTTCAGACCAACTTTTCGCCAGCAGCTGCAGCAGACGCAGATCCTCATTTCGCAACTGAATTACCATGCGAGGTCGATGATGACGAGTCATCTGAATCGTCGTTAGTCGAGGAGCCGCAGCCGTTGGATGGTGGATACGCTTGGGTTATCACATTTTACTCGTTCATGATGCATTTCATATTAGACGGCCTTAGTTTTACGTTCGGGATGATTTTTCCAGAGATTCAACACGTGAGTGGCGATTAGAACATTAAAACGACGAAACGGAATTTAGGTTTATGGTACTCAAAGAACTGGTGCAAGTACGGTTGCCTCTTTCTTTTTATCTTTTCCACTCATATTCGCTCCGATTGCTGGAACGGTTACAGATGTTTTTGGATGCAGGTTTTTTTTCTACGATACATACGGTAATAATGCATTTTTCTAATTTCACACAGGTTCACTATCATTCTCGGTGCCTCGATATGCCTTGTTTGCGGAATATCCTCTCTTTTTGTTACTACCATCGGCACATTTGCATTCATTTTTGGAGGTGGATGCGGTCTTGGTATAATAAGACATCCGTGATACATATCCTTATAAAATTTTAGGAATGGCATTTTGCTATAATGCCGCTATTGTAATGGTTACATATTTTTTCTGTGCGAAGCGAGGAATAGCTACCTCTATGGCAGTTTCTGGAACTGGAACTGGCACAGCTTGTTATCCGTTCTTCTTCGATTTGGTATGAATATATTAATGGACATTGAAACAATTCACATTATGGTTTAAGGCTCAAAAATATCTTCCCTTCTCAACTTTAGCAAATATGTTCGTCGTTATCAACGTTTCTTTTTTTGTTCTTTTGATTATTGGGTTTCTAACTCGCGATGTCACATGGACATCTGACACAAAGGAATACAAGGTAATTTAGATTTATGAAGCTTTGTTTGACAATAATCGTTGCTTAGGTCAAAAAGTTTATGCGACAAATTCGTATAATGAAGGAGGAACAAGAAGCAGCTCGAAACGCCGCCAAAAATGAACTTGCTCCTATTAGAAGAAGTATTTCAATGCCCACAATTCCGACCAACCTCTACACGCGTCTTGTCAAAGGAATCAGTCTCCAAAACGTTGATGATCAGTCCACTCAAAATCGCCCACCGCGATCGATGTCCGTCGGACAATTTCGTAATCGCGAAGCTTTGCCAAAAATTCCAGAATACACCATGTTGAATAGCGAATTAGAGCATCTTGAGCATCTTGATTTGGAAGTGATTAATAGGTTGATTTCCGCTATGATAAAATCAAATTTCAGCTTGCATACTCGCCATATACAACGATCAATGCTAGAAAACGTATGACTAGCAAGACGAGCATGAGTGCCGATTATCTCAATATTTATGATGAGAGCGCAAACGTCGTAGTGTTCGTTATTTGCATCTAATGAAGGAATAACATTTGAAATTTCTTTTCAGGGATTTTATTAATTCTTCATGTGAGGACGAAGATAAAGACGAGACTGAGGATTCTGATATGAGCAACGACGGCGATTCATCAAGTTCGGAAATCAGTATTCACGAGAAAAAGACGACGACATCAGCCAGATTTTCAAAAGTTGTGAGTAATCTTCCTAACAATGGCACATTACTGGGTGTTCGATATAACGGTAAGTGATAGTAATTCTCATTAATAAATGAATATTTCTTCTTCACATAGATATGAAATTGGCAACAATTTCATCGGCTCCAAACACTGCGCGAACAAATCGAACATCACTTGCTCCTGGTGCTTCTGGAGTCACCGGAAGAATCATCGCTGGAAATGCGTTGCAGCCATCTCCGTTCTTCATGACTAATTTGCTCGGAATGCAGGCAAAAATGCCATCTGCTCCAATTCTCGCGAACAGAAAAAAACGAAAAAACTTTGCTGCCAGACTCAATATGAAATTGGTAGAAGATTGCATAGATTCTAAACATAATTGAATTCTATTCTTCAGCTGAAAGAATTCGCGGTATCAGAATCACGTGCCTATTCATTTCTTTTGGATCGTAAAGCGATGATAGCTTTAATTATCAATATCTTCTCGCTCTACCTTATCTTGGACGTTCCATACGTTTACTTTGGAGACTATGTAACGGAACATCTCCAATTCACACTTAAAGAAGTGGCTTTTATGAACTCGACAATAGGAATAGCGAACTTCTTTTTCACTATTCTATTCGGTTTTATTAGTGACTTAAAACTTTTCAAAGAGGTAATCACCATTTTTCGATCTAAGTTAAAATATCAGTTTTTCAGAGGCTTTTTATTGTTTACGGTGTTGCTATGTTATTTGTTGTTTCCTCGTTCGTTTCAATTATATATTCTCGCAGCTTCTGGAGTGTTATTGTAAGTAAAATCAGTCTGTGACAAAAAATTATTGAGTACAGATCGTTGTTGCCATTTACGGGTCTTTCGTTTGCTCAAACTATGCACTGCAATCGATCCTCATCACAATCGTCTTTGATACTAAAGATTTCCAAACTGCCTATTCAATGTGTAATTTTGCTGCCGGCCTTGGATCACTTATTGGGCCAATTTGCATTGGTAATTGCGCTAGATAAAAATAATCAATTATTTTTATGCTCTAGGTGTCATTCGTGATAAACTTGAAAGCTATAAGCCTGTGTTTGCTATCTCCACAGGAATTTCTTTGATAAGCGCAGGTGCTGCATTCCTGCCGCACGTACTTTTGAAAAACGAAGTGGAGAGCCAGAAAAACAACGAAGACGAAGTTGAAATGAAAAATATGAAAAACTCGTAAGTGCTTGTTTCATTTTTCTTACTCAACAATCGAGACCAATTCACACATATTTGGTCATATCATTTCAGGCCAATTGACCCATTGGTTTGGAGGAGGTGAGTTTATTGGGGGATGTGAATGAGAAAAAAAATGCATATTTGCTCTCTTATATTTTTCTAGAGATATGAGAAAAATCATTCATGCGAAATGGTCATTGATGTTCAAGAATCGTCGTGGGTATCACTACCCGAATCATGTCGTGTATGAATAATTGAAAACTTGTTACCCCCACTAACTCAATATTGTATAGAACTTACATAGTAGTGGAAAAATTTTAAGTGTAAAAGCAAATCGAATAACAATTAGAAAATTTGACAACATTTAAGCGAACGGAAAAAAGTGACACTATTTACTTTCAGGTCATGCGCTCTGCCTGTCGAGAACGAGCGTCTGTTGGCGAGCGTCTAATAATCACTTCATAATCATTTTGATGATTTAATGTAGTACGTTGGTGCTGGACGGTAGTTTCTTACCTCGATGTTTTATTTCTATTCCACGTCATCGTCTGCTCTTGTAACCATATTTTAACTTTTCGTTAAATATTCTTATTAAAATTGTCAAGAAATCACGACATTTCGGAAACAAAAATGTAAATATCGATAATTTTGAAAATGCTGCCAGAAATAAGCAAAACTCCCCAGTCCTTCACAATGCATCTACACGTATCTATTGAAATCATTAATTAATTTATTACAATTATCTATTTAATCATTTTTATATTCATTTATCATCATATCTCTATATTGTGTTTTTAATTTGATATTTTAACATATTCGAGATGTATTTTTCTTTTTTTTTATCATGACATTGTTTGTTATCGCTTAGTTCTTTTCAGCTTTCGTCAACATTGTAGGGTATATTTCGGGATTTGTAAACTTCATAATCAATTTTGCACTGTTTTTTATTGTATTGTTTTTCACCCATTTTGGCTTCAGTACTCTGCGCAATTTTTGAAGGTACATTTGGTTTTTGTTCACTGGTGTTTTCCTTCCACATTCCTATTAATCAAAACACATAATTTAATTGGGCAAAATATGTGATTTAATAGTACAATGAATGAATTTATTTATTATTTAGCCGATGAATTAGACATAATTGCTTGAGGTTCGCGAAAGTTACTCGTTGCTTTTTTATGATTCAATTATTATTGAGAAAACTCTATTTGAACTGCAGAGTGCTCTAAGCAACAAAAATGAGATTCTCAAAATAATCGAACAGTTTTTTTGTCGATGTCAGTAATTCTGCAAAATTCATTCCATGCAAGATTTCATTTTCCTTCTCGTCACCCTGCACAAAAATGCGTATAAGAAACGTTTATCTAAACGCCCATTTTTTCTGGATTTCTTATTGGTTGTGGAAACGGCACATTCCTGCTCGATTTCTTTCTCTTTTGCCTTATTGAGTAATGGCATCATTTCCGGCTCACATAAATTCTTCCAAACTGTTTTATTTGCTCGTATTTAGAGAAGAACGCTTTTTTTCAATTTTGCTTCAAACAGTGAAAATAATTAAACTAGATTCTCATCAATTGTGGTATTTCATTTACTGATTTCGTATCAGCCGTTCTAACATCGTATTTGCTTTAATTCAAAGAAAACATGAGGCAGTCTAAAACCTTATGAAAAGAGCAACCAGCAAATTCTAACAATTTTTTAAATTTTATGATATTTGCGCTTGGCAAAATAAAAGCGAATAAAAAATAATAATCCAAATTGAAAGCATTTTCTTGTTCGATTGGAGTATGAATCTTTTGTTGACCACATGTTTTGCGTTTGGTATTAACACATTTTGCCTAATTCGAAAGAATGCAAACAAAACATGCCACTACTGAAAATTAATATAATGATAACTTTTTTTCATTTCAGATTTTGCATTCAAAAAAGAGAGGTCTGCGCTCAATTAGCTTTTGAACCTAACGGGTGTAGAAAATTCGCTTATTCCGGACATTATTCCGTTTTTACACACGTGTTTCAACGTTTTTTTTGAGCCAAATTTTTCTAACAGAAGTGTCGATTATCATGAATTCGTATCCTTAATGTTTCGAATATTTGATCTTAGTGGAATAATACTTTATTTAAATATTTAGACGAGGTTCCCTTTTCTCTTCATGAATGGTTTTACTCTTGAACAGTCAGCGTTTTATTGTTACATACACGTTCAAAAATTTGTCATGAGATTACCACTATGAACTACGAAAACGAAAAATACAGCTACACTCAATATATCGATAGCGGAAAAATGTTTCGTATCATTGATAGACTATAAATCAATCGCATCTCGTCTAATCGTTGGTGATAATGCAAAAAACTAAACAAAAAAGAAAAGATTAGACGTTTACGTGTGCGCAGAATACAGCAATGAAATCAAAAAATGTTCCAGGTCAACTTCGAAAGACATGGCGCCATGTTCTTTTATGGTGTAATAAATTGCACGTTGAAAATCGAATGCTAGTAGTATATAAAATGTTGCCGCTGGGGCAGCTTTTTGCCAAAACATGATTTTCTGCAATTGTTAATCATTTTTGAACATTTAGAACTCCATTTTGTGCTTAAACTACCATCATAAATTAAACTGGAAACGCTCTCAAATATCACCTAATACAGCCATAGGTCTTTAAAAGTTAAGAGCCACATTCAAATTGACCGCAATTTCATCCGGGGAAACATTTAACCCAACCAATCTGAGTGAGCAGGAGCAACTACAATCGTGGGATGCTACAATTTGAGGGGCCCCGCTTAAAAATCAGAAATCTTATTAGCCGATACTTTTTCTAGCGTCACCTATATAATGCAGTTACATGTGTTCATTTAAATAATAATTTATTTTGACATTAAAATTTATTTTTCATGTCTTGTATCTCTGTCCATAATAAATATTCAGTATACTTTGATTAAATGTATTGAACTCACAGACTCAACACGATTTTCAGACCCGAACACGTTTTTTTTACCGAATCAATAAAATAACAAATTAAATTTTAGAGATAAGAATGAAATATCCTTGTTAGTTGATACATTTGAGGACTATGCAGACTGCTAGTATGGTGCGCTGAAATAAATAGGACTTTTTCCTGGTTAATTGTCGAATTGTGAATTAAACAAAATCGTTGAAAAGTAGATTGTAATTACAAAGGTGCAATGTACAGGTAGAATTGAACAAATCTTTTGTTTTGGATAAATTCTCCGAGAATGTTTGTAGTATGAAATACATGAGTAAGTACGTTCAGACAGTCAACGCTCCTTGATTGAGCATAAGATGCTTTTTGGAACCGAGACATTCCATTCTTAAAAAAGTATTTCCAACCGGCATTCTGTTATAGATATTTTTACTGTTTCAAATGACTTGTTGTGGAAGCTTCAATATTTTTTTATTCAACCATCCTTTTTTTAAATTTTAATTAGTTGTATAAAGCAGGAAATAAATGTCTTAAAAAATTTAGGTTTGAAAAACGCCCTTCCTCTCTTACTTCGTATCAACAGTTACTTTGAGTAATGTGTGCTTACTTATGTATCGCGCACTGAAAAATGTTTTAAAAAATTGTTACATTTCAATGAATAGATAAATTAAAAATATATTTCGACCCTCAAGACACCTCAAAATTCCAACCAATGATAACTTTAATTTCAAATTCTTTTCCGGAAATTGTATTGTCTTTCTGGGCAATCATTCAAGATGGGAAAATTCAATGAAATTAGGATGATGACGAGTCGATTGCTTTTTTTTTTTTAATTTTTTTTTCATTTTATTTGTTTTCCTTCTTTGGCATTTCCATTTCTTTTTGTTTTTGGTTTTGTTTGCATGCGATAATATCGACAAATCATTAAATGAAACCAAAAATATCATTGTGCGTTGCCCCCGTTTTCCGAAAAGATACACTAAGATTGATTTTCGATCTTTTGCGCAGTTTTCCAGAAAGACTCATTGCGCCGTTGTTACGTCTTCATTTCATCTCCATAAATAATGTTCTGTGTATATGCTCGTAAATATTTGAAAAAAAGCGTTTCAAACCTTCCCACCTGCTGTCTTCTATATTCTCGGAAAGAAAAACACATTGCAAGTGAGAGGGATGCTTATTAGCATTGTCCTCATTGACAATTGCTTTTTTTAACATGTGGACCGCATTGAAGAAAATACACCATTGCTCTTCTTTTTGCACGCATCTCACCCAAAAACATCCAGATTCGTTTTTTTCTTGAGCTTTCGACGAGAATAATTGTTAGGTTTCTTCTTTTCCTTTCCAATTCCCATTCCTCGTTCCATTTATTTTTCTCTCGAGCTAACATAACTACCAAAAACCTCTTTGGTGGGTATCGAATTGGGTAAATTTTCAGTTTTGCGTTTTTTTTCCAAGCGTATCATCTCAAAAAGTTCCACGATAAAGAGGCTCTTCAATTCTAAAAGTTTCCGGAATTATCTTTTTGTTTGCATTGAAAGTTGCACATTTCCTAAATCGGAACAGCATAATACTTTTGTAATCTCTACTAATCACATTTATATAAAAAGATTATCGAGAACGTAACTTTTTATTTTCCTCCGAAAAAAATTTTTTGACTTTGTTCTGAAAGTTGTTTTTCGTAAATATGATATACCCTAATTCATTAATCGACTAGAAATTATTTAACTCTACACTTGTAAGTAATAGTTAGCGCTTTGTTTAATAGTTAATTTGGCAGATTTCTTGTTACTTTATTACATGTTGCTGAACTTCATTTAACATTTAGCTGCGAATTCCACGCATTCGACTAATTTTCGATAGGGTTTTTCCAATAAGAAAGAGATGAATGAGATTCGGCCAATATCTTCCAAGTGTCCGTTTCATCGAAACATATTTTTTTCGCGGCTTGAACCCATCATTTCGCATGCATTGCCATCTCTTTCGCAAAAATTTCTTTTGTTCTGTTAGGAACGCCAAAAAAAGCGAATTCATTTCGTTTCAAAAACCGAAAACCATAGTAACTAGCTTCTCACTATTGATTTTTGACTAAAGTGAGCGGAAAATGGCTCAAAGTCTTTTCAATTAAAATAAAATTTGGCTTGGGAAATGTGAATAGTCGATGATTTTTTATTTCACATAAAGCAAATAAAGGATTTTTTGGAATTTAATATTTCAATAAGGATAATTTTTGTCAAGTTTATTCGTAATTTCGAACATTCATTCACGTTATTGATACGATTTCAACCTCTTTCGATGATTTCTGATACAGATAAGATAACCATCTTATCTTTCAGATGAATTTTCATGACAAACGCAAGGTAATGTTCGGTCCAAAAACAGTGATGGAGCTTGACATTGATCCAGGAGTTTCTCTCATTGATGCTCCAACTGACATCAAGTTGCCATTCTTTCACTTTCAAAATAATAACGTTTTGTAAGCATTTTTAGAAAATAATTTTTGCAGTGCTTATTT